TCTATCTATCTATCTATCTATCTATCTATCTATCTATCTATCTATCTATCTATCTGTCTATCTATCTATCTATCTATCTATCTATTTGCCCACGGATATGTAAGTACTCACAGGCTGAACTCCAACACTCCTACGTTTTTGACACTCACGACCCCATCACCAGCATCTCCGTAAGTGGCAGTGACACATACTTGGTTCAGCTCAAAGAAATTCGGAAAACGTTCTAGCTCATACCAAAGTCCAATGTACTGTGAACGGGAAATGAAATAAAAAAAATAAATGATAAGTTGTAGCATCGTACGCAGCTAATACATGTACTGTAAGTACCATAAATTATTTAATTAATCTTTCTGTGGGTACAGAATAGTTGTATGCGCTGGTCATAAGAAGTGTTATGATATGACAAATCCTTTGATCTTTCGACATACGAGAGACGTTTTGCTGACTACGTCGTACAACAATGAAACATCGAAAATTTGATTTCTATCTACTCTGAACGCTGCATGTAAAGTTTTGGGAAACTAATGAACGTTGAGAAGTCGAGAGTACCTTTAGTGAACACCAACTTGAATACCAACAAAAATCGCCATTTTAATGGAAAATGTCAAGAGAATGTTTGAATGCCACCCTGTTATCAAATGTCTTTATTTGCAAGGGAAAGTACCAAAAACAAATTTAGGAGATAATACGTGTTTACCTGAAAACATATTTCTGAATGCCCTTCTTATGAAATTGTTAAATATTGGCAAGAGAAGTTCAAACCAGGCTGTTTTTATCCTCCATCCCGAACGCAAGAAAAGTCAAGAATCAAACCATTGAGTAGTTAGTCTGTTCTGTTATTGGGCTAGTGGGGTTGTCATCATTACAAACGACTTAGATAATGGCCTTAAAGTCAATAAAAATCTATTATTCGGTTTGTAGATGAGTCTAGTCTGCCTTGTCTAGGAAAATACGATAAAGGCAGAGGAAGAGAACCCTTCTACAATCATCCAGCAAAGCATTGCGGCTATGAAATTCGTCCATACCCATCCTATTCATCGGATTCAGGACCATCTGATTTTTTTCTCTTCCCAAATCAGAAAAAAATATCAGAGGACAGCGTTTTCATAAGTATGAAGATGCTACATCTACAGTGCAGGAAAGGTTTGAGTTCCATTCGAGAATATAGCATGCTTAAGGACTTGGGAAGATTAAACAAAGATGGCAAAAGTGTCACTTTACAGGTTGACTATGTAGAGAAGTGGCATTTGGAGTGCCAAATTTCAACATGCTGCTTGCTTTTCTTTTGTAGTAAGGGTAAGGACTTACTTAGCACACCTCATAATACTCGATGTGATCTTTGTAGTGTGTAATTGTGTATACTACAAAAGAAACAAATTCAACGCAAAAGATTGAAGGATAAGAAAAACAAAAGTGTTGCAATACGATAGAAGTCATTGGTTGAAAGTAGTCCCGATTTAACATCTTAGGTAAGAATTTATACGACTTATTTAAAGAAAATACAAGCTTTCCCTTAAAATCAAAATGAAACCAAGGTGAGCTTAAAGTACGCTAGGGATAAAAAGAAAGGAATTCAGTTTCTTTTATACTAAAATGTGTGTTTAGTATATTATTACAAAGATGAATGACATAAAGAAACGTCAATAAATTGCGACGTCAATGGCTGTCGAAAGCAATACAAGATTTATTAAGCCTTAATAGCTAGATATGGGAGCAGCTATTGTATAATTATGTATACTACATCTGCATAAGACTTTGTAAAAAGGGTCGACTCCGTTGGATCGAATCTTTTCCCTCAGTAATAGTATACAACACATATGTCAAAATTTAAAATTTATTGTTCAATATCAGATTTTTAATAAATTTTAAAATTTAGACAATCAGCAAAAGCCCCTAGCTTTATGAAATGATAGACATAATTTTGCAAAAAAGAAGAGGGGTGCTTTTGGATGCAAAAATGTAAAGTGGGTATCTTCTGAGTGGCTCTATTTTGTGTAATACAACCAACCCACTTACTATGGTACCATGGACTGAACTTAGCTGTAAAAAAAGGCAACATATTATAAATTCACAACTTGAAAATGTTAGCAAGAGAACATGTAAACTATCAGACAGATTGAAAGACATATTAGAAATAGGCACTCTGTTAACTCAGTTGGTGTCATGCTGAACTATTGAGCTCATGGTCCAGGTTCGAATCCCAGGTAGGGCGTTCATGAGCTGGGGTCGTTTTGTGGAATTTTCATGGCTCTTATCCAATTTAGCTCGGTCTTATCGGAGACGGACGTTAAATTCGGAGGTTCTGCCTCTTCAATAATCAAACAGTATTACATGGAACTCACCCGTGAGGCGTCAAATGCATCCTTGACCGTTACTCTTGGGCAGCGACCAAATTTGATAATGACCTGTCCCGAGCAGTTGTCTAACAAAACCAATGTGATCAAAATACAGACAGGGAAGGTAAAGCTTCCGAAACCTTTTACATTCATTTTGTCGTCCGACGATGATGGGTATTCAAAATTATATACTCGCTGGAAAAAGGCCTGGTCTTGTAGTTACGTCTCTAGTGTCTTTTCGGAATGTATGACCGTTATTTATGCCAAATAGGTAAAACGTCAAAGGACTGGCGGCCGCTTCTCTCCAACTCAAAGTAATTCGTGACAGATTCTTAGCTGTTGTAGACCATGCGGACGTAGTTTGTACCTTGCTACATATATATACGCTTGCAGTATCGCCTCGGGCAAAGAAGGTTCAATGTTTTAGTACTGGACTCTTCTGTTGCTAATCGCCGAGTTGATTGCATGCGCAATATCGTGGTATTTTGTATCGTCATCATTTGACCGCTTGAGTAAGGACAAATTAGTATGCGTGTGTTTGTGATTGGCGTGCTTGTTCGTGTGCTTACTTGTGTGTTTGTGCGTGTGTGTGCGTGTGTGCGTGTATGTGTGTGTGTGTGAGTGTGTGTGTGTGTGAGAGAGAGTGAATATGTGTGTATGCGTATGTGTGGGTGTGTGTGCACGTGCGCGGGTGTGTGTGTGTGTGTGTGTGTGTGTGTGCGTGTGTGTGTGTGTGCGCGTTCATGTGTGTATGTGTGTGAGTGTGTGTTTGTTTGTTTGTTTGCTTGTTAGCATGTGAGTGAATTATGAAACCATAATATGTGTTTCTCTGTATCTTTCTGTCTATCTCTCCGTGAGTGAGTGTGTGTGTGTGTGTGTGTGTGTAGGCCTATGTGTCTGTCAGTCTCTTTATGAGTGTTAGTCGGTGTCTGCGCGTTCAACTGTGTGTGTGTGCGTGTGTGTGTGTGTGTGTGTTTGTGTATGTGCGTCTGTGTGCGCACATGCAAATTGATAGGGTTCTTTAGGTTGGGGTGCGTGTTCGTTTGTTGGCATATTAAGCCGTTTGTTCGTATGTGTGTGAGTGCATAATTTAAAGTAATACTCTATCGTATATAATATAATACAGGGTGATCCATACAAGAAAACAGACTTTAAAATGTATTTTTCTGAATACCTCGCAGCTTGTTTGTGTTTTGGAATAAACGTTTACATTCAAAAGGAATTTGTTTGGCATAACATAAAGATGAAACTTTTTTCGAAAACGGAAGTGCTTAACTTATTGAAATAAAACCCATAAACACAACGTACACCAATCCTTAAAAGACTTTGAATTGAAAGTCATGAAACAATTTGCTTACTGTTTTTCACTTCCTTTTCTCTATAACATTTTATTGTTCCACCCCTGTAACAATAAGACGACATTTCATTTCTCTTACAGAGCCCAATAAACATAACTTTTATACAGGAATTCTAAAAACCGTTCTTTACATGACGTATTCCTTTGGACTCGACACATGTTTATAGCATCGTTCGAAGTGTTCACTGGTAGTCCAACACAAAGACTCGCAAAACTCATCCAGAGCCAGATCTGCGACAGACAATGACGATCATAGTTCTCCATTCATTTCTTCGCTCGGATGCTCTTTAAAAAAGCTACGTTTCCCTAATCTTTCCCTGTTACCCATTTGTTAAGGTTTCCTAGGTAGGTTGCTCTGGGCCTAACCCTGCCTTGTTTGCCATCAATTTTGCCAGTGAGAGCTGGATGTTCAAGGCCTTTATGTCTATTCAGATGTCCCAAATACTGCATTCGTCGTTTCTTGATTGTTTTTAACAGCGAGCGTCCCACGTGGGCTTCATCAAGCACCTCATAATTTGATTTCTTTTCCTTCCACGATATTCTCAGCAGTTTCCTAAGAAACCACTTTTTTATTGCTTCTTTTTTTTTAATGTTCACTGTTTTGGTGATTGTCCAGCATTCACAGCCAATTAATAGAAGGGTTGGCCATACATAGCATTTCAGAATTTCATTTTGGTAGTCACTGAGAGTTATGAGAGCTTGAATCCACACATACCGTTCACCTTTTGATACGAAGTGGTTTCAAAAGATAATAGGGGGCGGGCAGGGTGCCCAGTACACATTATGCTTTTTTAGTTTCAGCTGCACGTCCTGAAAACTGAAAATGGGCTTTGCCGCTGAACCAAAAAATGTCATCGACCGAGGAACCACGAATCTTCTGATACATTTCAGCATCGCAGGCATGAAAATGGTAATGTCGTATGCAAAATACGGAATATTGAGACAGAGGAATGTCCTTTACTCTACCCATGACATCAAAGAAGGTCCTGAGGATACTCTGGCATTCTTCCTGTACATTAAGCGGAACGTACGAGATGTGAGGGATAGTGAGTTGATGAAGGGGTAATGTTTGTTACACAAAGCTATCTGCTCCTTATTAAATAAACTTAATCGTGATCTCAGCGGGAAAAGCAGACTGGAAAAAAAATCCACAAAATCTCTAAAATTCTGTTGCCTTGTTTAGATCAGACTGCGGTAGCTTGAAATAAGGCCCAATTGTTATGCCTTTTAATCGTAGACCTTATGCGAGCTAGTGCGTCAAGCTACAAAATTGAGGACGAGGTTGAAAATGGGTTTATTTTTATGCGCCATATAGGGCAACACTATTCAGTGGAATTGTCAAAAATGAATAAAAACCAAATTCCCTTTGACTTCCAAATATTGTGTTTACATTTGATACTCAAAAGTTTTAGTGCATAGGAAATATTTCAACAAAAAAGTTTTAATTTTACCCCCCAAAAATGCCCCAGTGACTGCACGTAATATCCTTAAAGTAAGAAATGGCTAAGCGAGAACTGTGAGGAATCCATGAAATAAACCTTAGACCGTATAGAGCAGCATGTGAGAGTATACTTCAGTCTCATAATCGCAGGTCTCGTCAAATCATTCATCAACGCAGTGAGTGCAACATGTGGTACTGGTTTTGTGGATTTTAAACTAAGGGTGCTCAAATTATGACGGATATATCTGTTCCAAAAAATGAACAATTTGATAAAAAGTAATTAATTCTCGTGATTTTTTCTTTATTGTGTGTGTCGTCTAAAATAGGAATGGTCACTTTAAAGACAATTCGTTTGTAAGTACAATATGTGATTTATATGCGCACTTTTTGTTCGTGAGTATTTATTGTAGTATTGCTTTAAAAATATTTATTGATTTGAGATATA